TCTTCTAGTTTTTTGAACAGTTTAACAAGTATATGTACTAACTCTTTAAATGTTTTTTGAATTAACCTGTGAAGCCATCTAATCCTGAATTTCTATGTGTTGAGTGTGTTTTGATTACTGATTCAGTTTTTTACAAGTAATTGTTCTTTTCAAATTTTCTATTTCTTCCTTATTAATCCTTGGAAGATTATATTATGTAAGGAATTTATTCATTTGTTCTATGTTGTCCAATTTGTTGGCATATACATTTTCATCAATATCTTGATTTTCAGAGTATAGGTCTTTGACTTGGTTAAATTTATTCCAAGGGTTTTTTTTAAGATATTATTTATTTATTTGACAGAGAGAGATCACAAGTAGGCAGAGAGGCAGGCAGAGAGGAGGAGGAGGAAGCAGGCTCCCTGCTGAGTGGAGAGCCTGATGCAGGGCTTGATCCCAGGACCCTGAGACCATGACCTGAGCCGAAGGCAGAGGCTTTAACCTAGGTTTTAATTTTTTTTTTTTTGGTGTAATTATAAATGGGATTATATTTTTAAATTCTCTTTCTGCTACTTTGTTATTAGTTTATGGAAACAAATTTTTATATATTGTATCCCATAACTTTACTGAATTTATTTCTTTTTTTTTTTTTTTTTAGATTTTATTTATTTATTTGACAGAGAGAGATCACAAGTAGACAGAGAGGCAGGCAGAGAGAGAGAGAGAGAGGCAGGCTCCCTGCTGAGCAGAGAGCCCGATGCGGGACTCGATCCCAGGACCCTGAGATCATGACCTGAGCCGAAGGCAGCGGCTTAACCCACTGAGCCACCCAGGCGCCCCTGAATTTATTTCTTTATTCTAATAGGTTTTGGGTTTTTTTGGTGGAGTCTTTAGGGTTTTCTATATATAGCATCATGTTACCTACAAATAGTGACAGTTTTACTTCTTTCTCATCACTTTTGAAACCTTTTATTATTTTTCCTTGTCTGATTGCTATGGCTAGAACTTCTAGTACTATGAGAGTGGATATCCTTGTTTTGTTGTTGAACTTAAATGAAAAACTTTAAGTTTTTCACCTCATGATGTTACGTGTGGGTTTGTCATATATAGCATTTGTTATATTGAAGTATGTTCTTTCTATGTTCACTCTATTGAGCGTTTTTCTGTATCTATTGAGATTATTATGTGATTTTCATTCTTCATTTTGTTAATAGAAATAATGTGAAAAGTATGGAGGGTCAAAGAAAGTATGATTGTATTGAAAGTATATTGATTGATTTGCAAATATTGAACCATCCTTCCATCCCTGAAAAAAATCCACCTGATTGTAGTTATCACTTTAATGTATCATTGAATTTATTTAGTTTTATTATTTTAAAGATTTTATTTATTTATTTGACAGAGAGGAAGAGAGAGAGCACAAGCTGGGGGAATGGCAGACAGAAAGAGAGAGATAAGCAGGCTTCCCACTGAGCCTAACACAAGGCTTGATCTCCCCACTCTGGGATCATGACCTGAGCTGAAGGCAGATGCTTAACTCAATGAGTCCCCAAGGTGCCCCAGGTATTATTGAATTTAATTTGCTAACATTTTGTTGAGGATTTTGCATGTGCATTTAGCAGGGATATTGGTCTGTAATTTTCCCTTTTTTTGGTAGTGTATTTGTCTAATTTTGGTATCAGGGTAGTGCTGGACTCTTCTAATTAATTTGGAAGCATTCCTTCCTCTTCTATTTTTTTCGAATAGTTTGAGGAGAGTAGGTATTAACTCTACTTTTTATGTTTGGTAGGTTTCTCACATGAAGCCATCTAGTCCTGAACTTTTGTGTGTTCATTGTTTTTTGATTAATGATTCACATTTGTTTCTAGTAACCTGTCTGTTCATATCTGTATGTCTTTGGGTCTAAAGTGAGTCTTTTATAAGCACCCCATGGTATAGAAGTTTTTAAATATTATTTCTTCAGATAAGTTTTTATCCCTTTTTCTCTTCTCCTTCTGG